GGCGCGCAACATCTTGAGCACCGAGCAAATGGTGAGCACCGGTTGGGAAGTTAAATTCACAAGAAAGGAAATTTCGCTGCGACATGAGAAGAAAGGAGTCATGGGATATGGAGTATCCTGGGCTGGATGTCCTTGGATCCATCTGCAAGGTGGTCTGAGTGTCCTCATTGTCGTATGACTCGAGGGACTACACAGCATCGCCGGACCAAGGATGTCCAGGATCGGCCTGTAGCTTTGCAAGCGGATTTTTGCTTCATCAACCTGGTGACTGGTGCTTTTGCCAAAGACCAGCCAACGGCCAACGGTGCCCAATATGAAGGTGCTGGTCATGACTGAAATGTCAACCAGAATGATCAAGAAAAGGGAAGAGCAAGTGGTTCGGATCCGGAACAGAGCTGCTAGATACCTTTACTCGACAGGTGATTAGGTTCCTAAACGGACAATACCATGCTTGGCCGTACTACGGTCCTGATGGTGATGTGCGGCGCAGTTGGAAGTGTATGCGGATGCCAGTTGGGCACCGCAGGCTTCACTTGGTCGGAGATCGGTGTCAGGCATTGCCATCTTTTACAGAGGATGCTTGATAAAGGGAATTTCTCGCGTTCAAGGGTGTGTGTCGTTGAGTTCCTGTGAAGCAGAGTTGAGAGCAATCTTGACTGCTGTGCAAGAGAGCGAGGGACTGGCGACTCTGATTGGCCAATTGGCAGAGTCAGAGGTCAAGATCCGGTTGCACGCCGACAGCTCTTCAGCCAAAGCGGTGTTGTTAAACCGAGGTCTGAGTCGACGAGTTCGTCACTTGGACATCGCCGTCTGCTATCTTCAGGAGAGGATCCAAGAAGCTCAGACCCTTAAGGTCGTTCGGTGCCCAACCGCGGCGATGGTGGCAGATGTCATGACAAAGTGCTTGAGTCACTTGACATTCTGTCAACACCAGCGAGCTCTTGGAATCCATCCCAGTGAAGATGTGCAGCAGGTGTGGCGGATCTGTGGTATCCGACGCAACGTTGGTTTGCATTTCGAGGCGTACCAGTGTGCAGAGGCGGCTGGACGCAAAGTGGAGGGATCCGAGCAGGCTGAACAAAATTGCAGTGATGTTTTGGAAAATTCCCTCAAAACAATTGAAAAATCTTGAAAACCCCAGGGATGCCAGCGAGAGTCCTCCATGTCGTGCCCGAGATATGGATTTATGGTCTATCCGCAGAGACTCTGATTCAAGCACCACCGAAGCGAGCCCTAGTTTGGAGGTCGTACCTGGTTGTGAGGATGACATGGGCACTGAAGGAAGTCCGGAGACCCCGAAAACGGGTAAGGTTGCCGAGATGGAGGCACCTTTTTGGTGCAAGCCGTGTAAGTGGCTGTTCCGGAGTGACAGGGCATCTGGACTTGGGTGGAATGAAGAAAGGCAGCCGTGCTGCGAGAAGTGCAAGACGGTAGTGACGGTGTGGGGAACGAATGCTTCACATGCGTTTCACCTACGGGAAGGTGAAAAAGAAAGGAGGGCTGCTGGAAAGAAAGGTGAAGGAAAGCATGCCTCCCAGGGCTCTGGTCAGCAAGCCCCGAAACCCAAGAGTATGCCCAAGTCATTGGAGAGGATGACGGTGTTGTTCCCTGACTTGGCAGAAATGGAACCGCCAAGATGGTACAACGACATTTGGTGGGCGATATGCCGTCGTGGCATGGCAATCGAGGATCTCGATGTAGGAAAGGTAGTAACCGAGTTGTCAGACAATGACAGGATGAAGTATCAAGCCAGTTTCGAGAATCTGGTGAAGCCGATGCAAGAAATCGGTGAGGTGAGCCCGAAACCCTCAAAGCTGTTGGGGATTTTGGATCTCCGTGGGCAAGTCGGTGGCAAGGCCATCCTATGGGAGTCGGCTGTGACTGAGGGTATCCTTTACCTAGAGGTGCCAGCATCCACCTGTGCGTTGGCGACGATCAGTTTCGTGCTGTGTCTGAAAGGCAAGGGAATCACCCCTGTGCTACTGTTGGGTGAGCACCAAGACCTAGGGATCCTTAGGATGGTGGATATGCTGTGCATGCTACCCATTTTGGGAGCAGAAAGGTGCGTGAAAGATGAGATAGAAAGCAGCGCCCGCCCACCATGGATCAATCGTTGGAAGAACCACGCACGAGCTGGGTTTTTGGTCTTCGCGACGATGTTGGAAACGGTACAGATGATCGCAATGATGACTTGCGCCACGGAGATTCAATTTTGCAATGCCATCGGATATGTGGCAACAGGTGTGGCAAATGCTGAGCGAAGGCATTGGTGACCTGGAGACTGAGGAACAAGCTCTGAAAAAGCTGGTGAAGAATGCGGTCGTCCAGCAAGATCGCGAGTTTTGACGAGGCAGAGAAGAAACGGAAAAGGATCGCTGAGCTTGCAGCAGCAGAAGCGGAGGCGAGTAAGAAGGCCCGAGTTGAGCGAGAAGATTCGGTGCATTCATCGATCTCAGTGGCTTCGCCGGTGCTGGATGCTGCAACGATCGCGCATATCGCCGAGCAAGCAAGAGCAAGCTTGAGCGTGGGGCGGATTTTGAGAAGATGCTGAATGAAAGGAAGAGATCATCTGAGCCAAGCAAGTCTTCGCGAGATGTGAACGTTGCGGAGAAGGAAGATGATCCTTCTGGTGAAGATTTGGATTGAGGTGCTTGCAGACCTCATTGGGTTGTGAAAAGCCCTGCAGCCGTGACGTGTTAGGGATGCCATGGCTTCCGCGCTGCCATGGCCCGCCCGCCGCTGTGTTTTTCGCTTGGTTGAAGCGGCAGCAAAGTGATGATGTCTTCTGGTTGCTGCCTGTTTGTCTTTGTGGACCTGCCGCTACGTTGGTTGCGTTACGATTTGCCAACGAGGTTTTGGTTCTTTCTTGGAGTGTGCGAGACTGAAGGCTATGTCCACGTCGAGGTCGCGTACTGAGAGTGGGGTGAGCCTGAAGCTTGCATTAATTCGTTTCAACGTGTTTGCCACAACGAACTCTTGGAGACTTTCCAAGACATCCCTGTCTAGTACAGGTGGACTCGTTTGTCACGTGTATTTGACAACGAACTCTTGGGTACCAGTTGGACTCAGGACAACCTGCCTTCTGGTGGGAGCTTGCGTGAGTTTAAGTTTAATGTCAGAGATCGGTTGGTGTGTCGTTTGTTTCGTTTTGGTGGCGAGTACGCACCAAGGGAATGTGGCCAGGGCATACCCTTAGTGTTGAAGTGCCGAGCAGTGCTTGGACTTCGGATCTTTGACATGAACCCTCAGCAAAATGCGGGGGGTGGAAGATAGTGGCTGATCGTTGATGGTTTTGTCATATTTTTGGATCAGCTTGTATAGATTTGTTTTGTGATTGGGAATCGTTGTGATCCCATCCTCGCTGTTTTTGCCTCGATGATTTCCCTAGGAAATCATACGAGTATGTTTTTGCCCAATACGCTACTTTGAGTGAGTGTGCAGCGAGTAGGAACTTTGTTCTGAAGCTCGTTTAAGCTCACCACTGAATTCGTTTAGTTTGCGCACTTCGTGACTTTTGGCTCAAGGCCTGCGAGTGAAAAAGAGTGTGTGCGCACTTGGCTTAGATAGGTCGGGTTTGTGCTTTCAAGGGACAAGGTACCAGAGGGACCTTCGGCTTTTTACGGCCGTTGGCAACCTAAGTGGCCCCCGCTGCAGAGGCCACGAGAGGCCGGAATTCGCGCGAAACCACAGCGGCAGCATCGAAACGCAACGGAATTCGCGCGAAACCACAGCGGGAGCGTCGAAACCAAGCTCCGTCCCACCGCGCGCGCCGTTGCGGTCGGCAACCTAACTAGTCCGGCCGGAACTCACGCAAAACCACAGCGGAAGGCATCGAAATGCAAACCACAGCGGCAGCATCGAAACGTAACGGAATTCGCGCGAAAACGAGGAATTAAGAAGCTCGATGCCCAAAAAAAGCAGGTTCAGTGACGGCAGTGATGGAAATGGGATTGGGGATGATGGTGGAATTCAGCCCCCGGAATTGGTCGAAAGAAACCAGAATGCTGAGGATATCGAAGGCGATATTGTTCCACATCCCATACAAGTACCGATTCCGTTCACAGCCGAATGGGAGCAAGTTACCCATGATTCTGTGATTTGGCCTGATACAGGTGAATTCCCACATTTGGCAATGACTTCCACGACAAGAATCGTTGCAAAGGCACACCGAAAGCACCGATCGAGACGTAGGAGAGGAAGGAAGCAAAGCCAAAGATAAGACGGGCGAAAACCGCTCAGATTCATGATCCTATGTTTGAAGTATTCTCATTCTTTCAAACAGGTTGCAAGCCCCAACATTGTTGACACTATGATTCCAGACGATATGAACATGCATCTGAGAGCGTGCATAGCAATGGGAATGGTTTCTTACTTATTCTCACATGTTTCAATGGGTGCAGAGGCATGAGGCGACGATTTCTGTGTACATGGATGTTCAAGATGGCTACGGGCAGTGACAGCAACCACCGATTACAAACAATCGTGAGGTAAGGAATGGTTTAGGGAGCAAGGGACCTAGCCTAATCTAATAGTACCCCCAAAATAGGGAGTGCCTTTCTCACTTCGCGATTTACCGCAGGCCTTGAGCTCATAGCGCCGAAAGTCCGAAAGAGTGCTTCGTAGGAACTGCTCCCCACCGATCCCACTCTCAAAACCACATAAACCCTAAAGGCCCTAAACCCTGGAGTGCAACCATAAGCCTTTACCTTTTTGGTTTCCCAAATCGTTTGTTCTTGAAGTTTTTGGCCTGGGCGGGTGGGTGGGGCTTAGTTCTTTGGGGGAAAAACAAAACTTGAGAAAATGCGTTTTGGACCGCTTGCACTATTTGGGGAACATGCTTTGAGATCCTTTTCTGTTGGGCCGTGGGCCTTCAGATGATCGCCGCCCGCCGTGGCATGGCTTGAAGGCCGATTGTTTTGGTAGTGAGGGTCTTCCGGTAGGTTTGTGCAGGTAGAGTCGCCATGGTTTTCAAATTGCATTGCTGCAGAGCATGAGAAGTGATGTCAGAGACGGGCCCTGGACCGAAACCTGGATGGGAGAATCTCTGGACGCATGATTCGCTACTATGCAAAGCTGTGCAAGAGGTTTACCATAGCGCTGCGCAATTTTCTTGTTCATATGATGACGAGGCTGAGGCAATCATCTTGGTCAAAGAGTTCCTTAAGGATCAACTCACTGAGGCTGAGGTGGATCGGGTTGGTATCAGTCTTTGGCAATGGACATTGAGGCAGAATGCGCGCGGTACTTATCGTGCACGAGACGTAGCTGAATCAATCGTGTCAAGACCGTTGAAGATACCACGTCCAGAGGTCTCTTCTTCTGATGTCTTCGAGCAATTGGTGGCTGGATCTGCTAGAATTTCGCTCGGGCAAGTTATCAAAGCGGTGAAACTCTCCAAGGCGAGAGGAACCTCGAGGGAAGAGCTCGAGTCGAAGCAGAGGGAACGTTGGGCGTTGCAGCTTGTGGTGTACATGCGCGATGCTAATCTTCCTTGTGTGGCACGTATGGAAGCACTTGGTGAAACGAAATCTGCATGGATTCGCATGTTTGGCAGCCGTCGAGCAAAGACCCTGCGCAATCGAGCACAGGCCTGGGGTCGTTTTAGACGATGGTTGGAAGTCAGCTTCAACCTCTATTGGCCTGGGTCCCCTGCGCATCTTTTCAGATACATGGAAGAGCGGGCAGAATGCAAGGTCATGGGGAAAACTGTTCCGAACTGTCTGTTGTCTTCAGTTTCATTGCTTGAGACACTGGGGCAGGTCCCCCCCGAGGACCGTCTCAGTCAAGACCCTATGGTGCTGGAGACTTTCCGGTCATGGACCATGGAGCTGGAGGCTCAGGCGCCAGCAGTGCGTCCTGCCCCTATGTTCACTGTTGCAATCATGCTTTCGCTGGAGATGGCTGTTTGTAAGAGCACTGGACCGATTGGCTTACGGTGGACTGCATTCGTTTTGCTTCTGATGATCTGGGGGACGTTGAGAGCAGATGATGTTCAGAACATTGATCCAGATACCCTGAAGTTTTCACAGATTGGAATGCGATTTGTCATGAAGAAGACCAAGACCAGTGGGCCAGGGCGAAAGGTTGGAGAATTGCACGGGTTCATCTCGAGAGTTGCAGGATTGTCGGGATTTGATTGGATGCTCGAAGGATCCCGATTGGCGTCATCAGCGGAGCTGAGGTGGTCGAGGGATTTTCTTTGTCCAATTTTCACGGAAGATTGGGATCATGGCAGTCGTGTTTACATGGATGGCGAAGGGCTGGCTATTCAGTGCAGACGACTGCTCAAGTCGCTCACGGCACCGGTCCGAGGTAGTGGGAATACTTGGGGCTTGAACAGGACGCGCTTGGTCCCCGATCAGCTCGTGATGTTTTGGTCGGGACATAGCGCGCGACACACTCTTCCAAGTCTGGCAGCGGCCCTGGGAGTTGAGAAGGACCGCCGGGATTTCTTGGGGCGTTGGGCGTATGCGCAGCATGGATCACAGGATTACATCCTGACTAGTCGGCAGGTGGTACAGGCGATTCAAAATCATGTTTCGAAATGCCTCTTGCTGGGAAACGCAGACGGTGGATACATGGAAGAGGAGCTGCTTCATACTATCAAGACCTTTGCTGACGATAATGGCATAAATGGCGCTGCCGTGGTTCTGGGACATGAGGTTTTGCTTTGGGATGATGAGAAGCAGTGGTGGTCTTTGAATGGGAAATTTCCTTGTATGAAGGTGGGGCCTGATCGCGTGGTCGCTTCAGCTGGTTCCATGGATGCAACACTCCCTGGACCGTATTCGGCTGTGGAAGTCGATGACATGCCGGAGGCGCCATACTTCATTACAATCTCACGTCGGGGATTTCGTCGATTGCACTTGAGCAAGAGCTGCGCGGTGCGGCAGGAGCGATGTGCTGAGACGACTCCTGTTTTCGTCTTGAAGGAGGGGATCGCCGACGCAGTTTGCAAACTCTGCCGGCCAAAGATGGATGCGTGCCCTGACTCTTCCAGCAGTGGTTCAGAGTTTACTGAGGAAGAGCCTCTGGGAGCAGCCGGTGAAGACCCCGAGTGATAAGGTGATTGAACCGAGGGTTGTTTGCGCTTTGTTTGCTTGAGGGGTGCTGGGATTTTGCTTGGGTAGTTGCAGGCACTCCTTGCGTGTTTCAACGGAAGAGTCGCGAATTGCACTCAAGAGCCACGGTGGAGGTGGCAGGTGAATCTCAGTTGTGCGGGTTGTGACGCACCGGTTGGGCCATGGTGGAAATGGCCGTAGGATCTGCACGAACTGGTAGGTGCTGCACTAGTGAGTTTGTTGGTCGTGATCGGATCCTTTCAGGATCAAGCGGTAAAAGATTCTTGATTTGTGCGAGGTGGTTGATTTCTCCTAATTCGTGTTTGGTTCTTAGTATACCTGATTTGCGTCCTAAACGCTTGGCCAGGATTGATGCATCTGTAAGGTGGTGCAATCGGATCGCGTTGCAATGGCGGGGCCGCCGCCCGGACCGCCGGCTGCTCTCACGCTGCCGGCCGGCGTATCGAACGATGATGCGCTGGACTACCTGGACAAGAACCTCACATCTGATCTACTTCATATCCTACAGGAGTGTGGAGTGCCCCTCGCTCTGCAGTACAAATTGGGGAGTGATTTCAAGAATGTGAAGAGGTTTGCAGCATATGCGGATTCACGGACCGGGGTGCGGGAGGCCCTAAAAACCGATCATACCCTGGAACCTGCAGATCAAGTGACACGTGCGGCTGTTGCATCAGTGGTTTCAGCATGGGAGTCATGCAAGGAGTACAGTTCGAAGGAATCTGAGCTGCGTGCAGAGGCCAAAGTTCTTGGGATCACGAGGCCGGTTACACAGACAGAACGTCAAGCCATGCGTGCATCTTTTGAAGCAACATATGGTAAAGTGGAGGAGAGCTTTGAGCCTTCAGACGACTATGTTTCCACGAAGATGGAGGAGATCGAGAATGGGGAGTTGTCAGCGTCGAGCCTTTCAGAAGTTACAAGCCGGAAGCAAGTGAAGACCATGGGGTTACAAACTTCAGTGGACACTGGGGGTCATGTGCGGATCGTCAAGCAACGGGCTAAGGGGGTTATGCCTCAGAACACTGAGGAGCTTCGTGCAGTGCTGCGTGTTGAGGGGACGGCTTTCTGTTACCTGGCTTCCAAGTATCGCAACAAGGTGCTTTTCACAGGCATGAATCCTACGATCTGGCTGGACTACGCGAACTATCTGCTGGGGGAGAAAGTCTATCGCATGCAGATCCCCACAGGCAACAAGGGATCCGGCAAGCAGGATCAAGTGACGCTTCGACCGCCATGGACCGTCATGCTGACATATGAGTACGAATTACGCAAAGAAGCCATCAAGCGTGCAGTTCGAGAATCCAGAGAGCTACGAGTTACGCTCAAGGAGGTGTGCGATGATCCACAGCTGAAAGAGCAATTCTTTACGGCACCCATCGCTCTGGGAGGACATCGGGCCAAGGGGGATGGCTGGAAGGGCGATGGTTGGAAGCGTCAAAATGCTTATCCCGATTTTGGTGGCGAGCAGCCATGGAAGTGGCAGAAAGGAGGTGGCAAACCCCCGAAAGGCAAGGATAAGAAAGGTAAGGGAGGAGGAGACAAAGGAAAGGAGCGGAAGGGCAAAGGAAAGGGGGGGCTGGCCAGCCGAACACCGGACGGCAGGCTCATTTGCTTTGCATACTCAACTTCTGGTTGCGACGGATCATGTGGCATGGTTCACTGCTGCCAAGTTCGGAGTTGTTTCGGTGATCACCCAACCTGGAAGCACTGGCAAGAGCATTTCGCGAAGTCGGGTAAGCAGACCGACACCTGACTCCCGCAGCTCAACGTGCTGTACTTGTTCGCTGGTCTTCCACGCGATGGCGATTTGAGGTACTTCCTTGAACGCTGGTGTGATGCGCATGCCTTTGAATTAATCCTACGCGAGGTTGACGTGAAGCGTTCGCCTAATGATGATTTATCTCAGTCCTCACCCTGGGAGAATATCTTCTCGGAGCTCCGTGCGGGACAATGGGACATCTTGATCTGCAGCCCGCCTTGCGGCACGTACTCTCGTGCCCGACACCGATCTGTCGGGAACGGATCAGGACCAGTTCCTCTTCGCAACTGCATGCATCCATGGGGTTTTCCTTGGCTTTCCGAATCGAATGCAGCTCTGGTCAAGCTTGCCAACTACTTTGTCAAACAATGTTTGGAGGCGATCGGATATCAATGTGCAGCGAACAGATTTTACATCTGGGAACATCCCGAGGACTTGGGTGTCACCGAGACTGGGGATGTCCCGGCAAGTATTTGGCAACTTGCTGAAATCCGATCACTCGAAGGTTTTACTTGGGCGGTTCACCAATGCGCCTTTGGCGCCTTGCATCCCAAACCAACTCGCTTCTTGTCCAATCTTCCACTGGCGGAACAGTGGTCCAATGGCTGGCCCACCTTTGATGCTGATGGGCGCTACACTGGTCCTTTGACTTGGTGCAACCACGATTGGCATGAATCAATGATGGGTTGGGACGTTTCCTCAGGCACGTGGCGCACCGCTGGTTCTGAATGTTACCCACCTCTACTTTGTTCGCATCTTGTTGATTGCATAACCTCTTCACAAAAACAGACCGATCTTCCTGAAGCACCGGCCGATGCTGAAACATTGGCCCAGTCTCTCCTTCATCGGATGGATGCCCTCGCACCCGATGACTTGCAGCCTCTTGCTGAACTCCTGCCCCGGGAAGCTACTCACAAGGCTGCTGGGCATCAAGGTGAAGGCGCTTTCTTCGCCGGGGCCTATGCCAGGGGCGGTTTCGTGGGACTGCGATCTTCATGCCATTCTTCCCCATGTTCCATCAAGGTTCTGACCGCAGCCCTTCGAGGCGCCTTTCCAGGACACTGCTTTTCTACGTTGGTTGTTTTCACTAATACACTGACGGCACCTCACAAGGACGTGCACAATGCTCCCTTTCCCAATTTGCTTATGTCACTTTCCAAGTTTACTGCTGGGCAAGTTTGGCGGGAAGATTCCGAGGGCGATGTCTATCGCACAGTGGCCGGCCAGGCCCGACCTGGTCGCTTGTTGGACGTGGCGGCTGGACCCTGTTTGCTGGACGCCCACAAATATCTTCATGCCACGGAACCCTGGCGCGGCTGCCGCATCGTCCTCGTGGGGTTCATGGTTCGCCACCTACTCCTTCTTTCACCTGAGCAAGTTGCCTTGCTGGCCGCGCTGGGCTTCGTCTTGCCCGATGCAGACCGCGCACGCATGGGGGAACACGCTCCTGCATCGGTCATGGTACAAAAGGCGTCTGGGGCAGCCGAGGCGAACCCCTCGACAAAAGCCAGTCAGGAAGTGATCATGGTGGATTCGGGGGATGAGCTTCCGGAAGAGACTGCAGACACTGAACTTCCTTTTGATCCGCGTACAAGCCGGGCATTTGGACAACCTTTGGTCTGTCGTCATGATACAGGCAAGCGAGTCTTCGTTGATGGCTTCGGACTATGCTCCCCGGGCCGTTGGCCCCCGGGCCAAAGGGGACAACTGAATTCATGGGAGGAGAGCTTGCATGCTGAACGGATGCAAAGGATCTTGCGTAACTTCGTTTTGGCTGAGCTCCCTGACATTCGGAAGTCTGCATTCCTCTTGGCTGCCGGAAGGTTGGAATCGAGTCCCTTCACACAATCCGCCCTGGACAGACTACGTGGTGAGCTGGCGGGAACATTGCCCGATCCGGCCCTGGCGCTTCGGGTTCCTGACCGCCAGCCGTTCTTGTTGTACATGCTAGCGCAATCTCTGCGGATCTTGGGAGACCCTGACTGGGAGATTCTGATTCAAGGAACGGAGTGCTTTGCAGAAGGCGTGCCATTGGGTGACGAGGAGCCACTGCCCCGTACACCGCAGGTTTTTGCCCGTCGTGAAAAGTTCCGAAAACTGGATGCATCACCTTTTCAAGCGATCATGGACAACTACACGTCAGCAGAATTGTCCTCTGAGCAACTTGAGGAGCATTTTCGGGCTGATGAGCAGAAGGGCCGCATGCTGCCGACCACGGAGGGAGCAGTGGCTCAGGAGTATGGTCCAGGGCGGCTTTTGGTGGCCGCCATGGGTGCAGTGGAGAAACCCAATGGTGACATCAGGCCGCTGCACGACGGAACTCACGGCGTCAACTTGAACAATCGTATACGCATCTTGGATAAGTTGGAGACACCAGGACCTGATGAGGTGTTAGAGATGGTTTCCCTTGCGCGCGACTCGGGCGAAGCAGTGTTTGCCATCTCTGCCGACATATCCCAAGCTCATCGCCAGGTGAAGGTCAGGCGAAAGGATTGGCCTAAAATGGGATGCCGTTCCAGTTCGACATCGCGTACCGTATGGCTCAATACTGTCGGCACATTTGGCATCAGCTCCGCCGCCTACTGGTGGAGCCGGCTGTTCGGATGCATTGGGAGGTGGGTGCTACGCATCTTGACCACGCTCTGGCATATGGAGGTGGTCTACGTGGATGATTTACACCTCGTGACCGCTGGAGACACAAAATTCCTTGTGCTTTGGATGGCTCTGGCGGCGTACGAGGCAATCGGCACGCCATTTGCCTACCACAAATTCAAAGGTGGGATCAAGGTTGATTTCGTGGGATATCATATCGCATATGATCAGTGGTCTGCAGGGCTCTCATCCAAACGCACAAAGTGGATAGTGGGCTGGATCAACGATCTTGAGGCTGCGAGTTGGATGGTAGTGGGTCGTGCCATGGTAGAGTTCACTGGCAGGATGACTTTTGTTGGTAGACTGCTATTGTGGCTAAAACCTTTCTTGGCTCCGCTGCATTCCTGGTGTGCCGTACTGGCAAGGGGGACAACCGCACGCGTTCCCACGATGGTTTATCTCTCGCTCATCTACATCCGGAAGAATCTTTTGCTGACACACCACTTGGTACCCGCTTTGCGGCAGGCCCCCTTTGTGACCCAGTCTTTTCGAACGGATGCGAAGTGTGAGCGTGGACGTGTCGTGTTGGGTGGTTGGTCCCTTGCCAAAGGGAACGTGCCGGGCAAAGCAGATTGGTTTTCTGTTGAAGTCACACCGACAATGGCGCCTTGGTTGTTTAAGGAGGATGGAGCAAGTGAATGGGCGTCAGCCAGCGCGGAGTTGCTGGCTTCCTATCTGGCCTTGTTTGCATTTGGTCACCTTCAGGCTGCTGGATGTCGCAATGTCATGTTGGCAACGATCTATGGTGGAACAGACAATCGGTCGAACCCTCAGGCCGAAGCAAAAGGGTCATCTACGAAGTGGCCGCTCATGGGGCTGCTGATGCAAATGTCTGAGACACTCCTTCATTCCAATCTGCGTGTGAAGCTGCAGTGGAGGCCACGGGAAGAGAACACGGAGGCCGACGATTTGACAAATGGTGACTTCTCAAAATTCGACATGTCGTTGAGGAGGCTGGTTTCCTTTTCCGATCTGAAGCTGGATTTGTTTGAGGAATTGATGGCTTGCTACGATGAGTACGAAGCATCGAAGGTGGCCTTGAAAGAACGGAACCCAATTCGGGAGAAGGCTTCGAAGAAACAGAAGCTGGCCGAGAAAACTCCGTGGTGATGCGCGCCAAACGCCTTCGGTGGGGCATATGTCCGTTCGGCGCTGCATCCTATCACCAACTGGTGGTGGGGTCGGATCTACACCAACCATGCAAAAGGTGCGCTCTTGCGCTGAGGGTTTAGTTGTGGTTTAGGCTCCTCTCACTCCCCTTCCCCCCCTTTGGCCCAAACGCCTGAACAAACCTTTTGGGTTTCCCAAATCGTTTGTTCTTGAAGTTTGGCCTGGGCGGGTGGGTGGGGCTTAGTTCTTTGGGGGAAAAACAAAACTTGAGAAAATGCGTTTTGGACCGCTTGCACTATTTGGGGAACATGCTTTGAGATCCTTTTCTGTTGGGCCGTGGGCCTTCAGATGATCGCCACCCGCCGTGGCATGGCTTGAAGGCCGATTGTTTTGGTACCCGCCCTCCCTGTCCCTTTTCTGCACCGCGCCCACTTGGGCTGCCGACGCTTGCTAAAGGATCGTGTGGCCCAGTAGTCCGGTTCGTCCGGTTAGGCCTTTGTCCGCTGGCTGTACAACTTCTTTGCCTAGTAGTCCGGTATGTCCGGTGAGGCACCATGCTTCTTATCGGCCCAGTAGTCTGGTTCGTCCAGTTAGGCCAAAATTTCTGCTGCTCCAAGCCATGTTTGCCTAGTAGTCCGGTCTGTCCGGTGAGGCACTTTGTGGAATGTCGCTGTCTTCATATGCCGCGCCTTGAGTGCTTCGCTCTGCCCAGTAGTCCGGTACGTCCGGTCAGGCATCTTGTACATGACGAATTCACCCATGTGTCTCACTCGCTGTGATTTGATGCCGGGGCATATGTCCGTTCGGCGCTGCATCCTATCACCAACTGGTGGTGGGGTCGGATCTACACCAACCATGCAAAAGGTGCGCTCTTGCGCTGAGGGTTTAGTTGTGGTTTAGGCTCCTCTCACTCCCCTTCCCCCCCTTTGGCCCAAACGCCTGAACAAGTGAATCGAACGTTTGCATCGGGGCATGCCAGCGGTGCGGTCTCATGGTGTAGCCGTACTGGCCTTTTTTCACATACCGTGTCGCGAGCGGTATTTACTTTGGGGAGGCATGTCGCAGGGTCGGCCTAGGATTTCGGTGAAGTTGTTGCTTTCGGGAATCATTAGTATTCGGTACTGTTTCGGTTTCGGTTTTTTCGCCTTTCGCTTTCCGTGGCTCCACGTGTTTAAGCAAGTCGTCGGCGTATCGTATTCGGGTGGTTCTTCTTGTACGTTCAGGTGGTAATCGGTGGTGGCTTTCACTAGTTTAATCTCGCTTTTCCCTCCTGTCTGCCCCAAAGTTTCTATTTCTTCGTTGAAGGTGTAGGTGTGGCTGTTTTTGACCATGGCATGAAAAGGCTTCATGTTGTACATAGATTTCTGGGGATCGTGCCTTTTAATGAGATTCAAAAACCGATCATGTATTCTAGATGGTATGTTAACTCCTGGAAGACCTTGTTCATATCGGATATATTGGCAGCTTTGCTGTAAACTCCTCCCTTCCGGTGATTTCCATGGTCTTATCTATCGTCAGTCTCTTCCTCCCGCGATTGCCATGAGAGTATCGCCTTAAAAATCGACGAGGGCGTTTTTCCAGCATTGATTTTTCGTGTGCTCGTTTTTCCATAGCTCCCTTTCAGTATCCCGTGCTAGGTTTCACCTTTGTTAGAACATACCGGTGATACGTGGATACATTTTCGGCTGCGTCCGCTAAGTCCGCTAAGTTTTCCTTCATTGTACTCACCACCTCGATTTAAAGGCGTCGAAGACAAGGTTATAGATAGATCAACTTACCGATGATCAAGGACTGATGCATGGTGGTCTCCAGCATTCTAGTCGGCTCTAGACTGCCCGATGGTTTGCTGCTCAAATTCAAGCAGTTGTTGCTCGTCGCGTGAGCCTTGCCCAGTTATGGCAACGGACAGAGAGGCGAGTCCTTGGTTTCTTGTAGGTTCTGACGTTCATGAGTCAATATGAGAGCATGGCGAAGGTTGTGAAGCCCATCGAGCGGTCGATTGTATGGATCTCGGTACTCGAGTGCCATGCAAAGTGTGTTTAGTGTGCCTGTCCATGTTTGTCCATCTTGTGCAGCTTGGGTGAGCCGGGTGAGTGCTGAGGTGGCCCATGTCCGTTTAGTGCAAGGCTTCGTGAAAACTAAGCTGGCTCTGGAGGGTTTCCACATCCTGGGCATGGCGTGTGCATCGGGATGCACTGGGATTGGCTGGGCATGCTGGGCTTAGCCGATTCAGCGGCCTTAGCGCCAGAGTACGAGACTTCAATGGTACTCCGCTCTACAGCCACGAGTCTGTTAGGTGCGTCACATTCGTCACATCACGCATGCGTAAGGCAGCGGGCACATGCTTCCAGATAGGTTTCCGACAAAAGGATGAATTCCTTCCTCCCAGTTGCAAGTCTTGGGTCCCGCGGCGACAAATCATGCTGCTGCGAGCAGGCCACCTGTTGCAGTGGAAAAGCCTTGCGCAAGGCACCACTCGTGCAATTCGTGCAGTTTTTTCCGAACAAACACAGCTAAGCCGTTAGCAGCAACTACCCTACGTACGAAGAGACTGCCAGCGCCGGCAGAGATTCAGGGGACCTCGCTTGCGGCACTTCCTGCAGCTCAACCGCCCTTCATGGAACTCCAAAACATGAGTGCAGCAGCTAGAAGGCCAGGCTGTGCGACCACAGTGACGTCCAGACTTTCCAGCCCCAAGGCTTTTGATTAGAAGCCGATGCCGCTCCAGCGAGGTAGCGTTGATCATTAAATCCTACATTTGTGATGAACGACTTTGGAGTCTTTCGGTCAACCGCACCACCCAAGCAGCCCAAGCATGTCATGGGCGCAGCTCGGTGTAGGCCATGGCTCGCCTTAGCATTTGACGTAGGACACCCTTTCCTACAATTATCATTTGCAGTGTCCGGCACTGTGCCGTTCGGGTTTTCAAGGCGTGTTACAGGCCTCTTCTGACGGCGTTGTAGCGATTTCCACGCCCTCAGTGTGCAGCGGAAGGTGATGTCCACGAGTTGGCATGGCTAGCCTTCTCGCTAGCCTTCTCCACTTGCCAGGAGTGGAGTGGCGCCTCCGACGCTGACTCGCACTTCTAGGTCGGTGCATTTACTCGCCAAGAAGTTGAACACCAGCTTAGAGAGACAATGAATCAGCTCAGCCGTTAAGAGTACTCGGGGTCGGGATGAGCAATGGTGCGGAGAATACATGTTTTAGGCAACTTTGGAGCTCGCTTGCTCCCGCATTCCGGCCCCTCACTAGGCAGCTCACAAAGGCTTGCCAGCACAGCGATGCCTGCCGGGGCTTGCTAGCCTTAACCACTTGGCAGGAGTGGAGCGGCGGCTCCGACGCTGACTCCCACTGCTAGGTCGCTGAATTCCCTCGCCATCGCCAAGAAGCTGTGTCAACACGAGCTTGGAGAGACAGTGAATCATCTGTGCAGTTAAGAGTACAGGGCGGCGGGATGTGGACAGTGCGAAGAATACAGGGCGCCCGGCTGCATGTGCTTTAGACACTTTAGAAAAGTTTGAAGCTTGCTTGCTCCCGCATTCCTCACCAGGCGTGCCAGCACAGCGATGCCTGCCTGCTTGGCATGGCTAGCCTTAGCCACCCTCCAGGAGTGGAGCGGCGGCTCCGACGCTGACTCCCACTGCTAGGTCACTGAATTCCCTCGCCATCGCCGCTGAGGATGTCAGGAAGCTGTAGCTTAGAGAGACAATGAATGATCTGTGCCGTTAAGAGTACTGGGGGGCGGGATGAGCATGGTGCGGAGACTACAGCGCGCCCGGCTGCACGTGCTTGGAGCTTGCTTGCTCCTGCATTCCGGTCCCTCACTTGGCAGGGGCGGTTGCTCAAATCTGCTGACCTCCTTCCCTGCCCCCCTGCCCCTCTGCCCCCCCGAGACCCCTGGCCCTTGACCCCCCTGACCCCTGGCCCGCCGTGACCTCACAAAGGCTTGCCAGCACAGCGCCTGGCTTGGCATGGCTTGTGTCTTGCAGGCCTCTGCTGACGGCAGTGTAACGCTTTCCACGCCATTGCGCCGAGGAGTTGGCCTCAACCGCCTTATAAACCTTAAAACCGCCATCTGCAGGAGTGGCGCAGTGCACTGACTCCCTGAAAATGACAGTCTCCTCGGACTTCGAATGCTGAACCATGCTGCCTTCTGCATCCCGGGCACAGACTCATTTTCACAGGAGCAGTGACAGTCAACAGAGTCGCAGGAACTGCATGGAGGGATTATTTTTTTGGGCCACGCAGACATTATGCGCACACTAAGTCACTAACCAGTGCTTCTGAGGGCGGTGCAACAAGCTAGATAGAAGGATACAGAGGATCAGAAAGTCTTTACGAACTGACCACTTCACTAGGCAGACAGTCTAAACATTCGTGTACTGTCCTACTCCTATGGGACTCAAGTCAGCCATTATCCTTGACTTTCAAAGGTTTTGTGCACAACGCTCTTGCATCGTAGCTGAGAGTGCCGAACACCATGATGCCGAGTGAGTCAGATGAGCTCTTTAGGCAAAAGTTCGGGTCCACGGCCTAATGTTTGGCCTGGGCGCCCGCACAGCATAATGAAAAAGGGCTCCGTGTGTTTTTTGCAAATTCGGCCCCATGGCCAAAACACATGTGTTTCTTGGAGGACCGAGCAGCGAAGAGAGCGAAGTCGTGCATGCGAGCTGAAGACGAAATGACCGGGCTGTGCAAGATATGGCATCAGTTCAACCAGTTCAACCAGTTCAACCAGTTCATAGGAATCTGGAAAGCATTGGCGTGCACGGCGTCATGTGCAGCCGAGGGCAAGCATTGGGCATCCTCTCTGGCATGTCGAAGATTGTTGCAACATCCCGCGCACCACGCTCGCTCAAGCTTGTAGCGGCTGCGCAAGCGCGGCGGTGCAAGAGTTGTGCAGCCATGTTGCGTACGCGCTCGCCCGTGCCCTCTTGTGCCCTCTGCGCTCTAATCCCATAGGCATCTGTTTAGGGCTTAGCCCCTAGATCTCTAGCGGT